ATTTATACAGAACTTGCACACATTAAACAAGTAAGTATTTATCTACTCTGGTAAACACATAAACAGAAAAGGCTGTGGGACTACAGCAGGGTCCGCAATTACACGTCAGCCACAACTTTTCTATGTGATTATTGGCTACAGTGAATCTGGAAAAAAAATATTGCTGTTGGATTTTAATGTCTTCAGATGCTTTTAAACATCCCTGAGACTAGAAAGGCACTATAGAATTTTGCAAATAAGCAACCTTTTTTCCTATTTGTACAGCATGTTTTTAGCAAAGAAAAACATGTGTGGGAAACAAGCGAATGCACTTTTCAAAATTAATTTGTGTCAGGGATGAAGCTGTCTCCAACTCTAATTTTAATTTGAAAAGGATTTCATCACTTGATATTTCTCTTTGTCGACATATCTACATGAGTTTCTCATATAGTTTTTTTACGACAGTGAAAAAATCTTGTGAAAACCATGCTATGAGTTACATATTTTAACATACACCCTGTCTGGCTACATTTTAACCCAAGAAGCACTCACACATGCCTAGACCTTCAAATTCTCTTGGTGAGCTTAATATTAAGGCCTCTACTTCAAAATCAAAATGGGTAAATTTTCATTTTTATTTCTATGAACTAGGTTAATTTATTTTGAGACTGCATTTAGTACAACTAAAAAAAATTCAATAATGCAAACTGTACTCAGTATTGATCAGTATATCAAGAGTTAGATATTTAGATGTAGATGATGTAGCTTTTCTTCTGGTGCTATTCAATTATCTAAACTCTATTAACGCAGGCATGTTTTAATCATAACTTAGGTGAACAAATTAAAAAAAGTAGTTTAACAAAGTAATCAGTGATGGGTTAATTATGTAATACTTGAAGACATGATTATGAGACCTTAGGTTAAGCAATTAATAAGTCTAACCATTATGGTAGTTTGACATCTACTTGTGCACTGCTAAGAGTGATGTAATCCATGCTGCTTTTAAGAAAGCTTTGCTCCTGAAAGAAATTCTTGGGTTCAAATTTTGTCTCTTTTGAAGCTACAGGCAAATGAACCTGCTACAATTTGGAATTGGTTACATTAGTTGTAGTACATGTATGAACCAGCAAATAATAAGCCATTATATATTCTTCCATGATGTTTTCAAAGCATTTCTGGTCATATCATATCCTATTTCTTTTTTCAGTCCACAAAATGGAAACCAGAATTTAAATCATTGTTTTCTCCTATGATCAGGAACGAGTTTTTCTGTAGTTTAAAAAAAAACATTGTACGTGGGCAGAGAAAACATGTGGACTTGTCTGGTGTCCAAAACTGGAGTCACTATGTGTAGCAATTTGGGGTTGTTAATTTTAAATGCTAAAAACACAAATACATATGGACAATACCAATCATTAAAGTCTTTAAATAATGTTTAAAATTGAAATGGCTTTCTTCAATATATTATCCAATAGTCTCTGTAAACATCTTGTAAACCTATTTTATTTAGTAGGACATACTGTGACATACACTGCTATTTGCCCAACCAGAAAACATCCCCTATATCTTCTATACTAATACTATGCTGATTTTGTCCAGGTATAAGAAAGGGATGTATTCAGAGGCAAAGTGAACCCTTTATCCCCAGGGCATGAATTGTGCTTGGTATAATTCATTCATGGTTAATTCATGAACTACTGTTAGTTATTGTTTCAGTGTGGGCATGTGAATCAGTCCTGAGCAATGAGACATGAAAGGACATTTGCTGGGAAATACTCTGGGACTTTTTTCCCCTCCTTCTTAAGTGAAATTTACAAGATGCTCTAGGAGAACTGAACTTGCTGCCTTTGGTCACAGCGTGAGGACATGATGCCTTGAGTTGCTGTAATTATGATGATGAAAGCCCAGAGAACTGTAGAGAAGCCTTTTTGGAAACTCTACATGTTTTAATTGCTGAACTAATCGATCCTGGAAATACTCACCTCTGAATTTTCATTTATACTTAAGCCACATTTAATTGGATAATCTGTTTCTTAGAACAGAAGATATCTAATGGACACTCATATCATAGATACTTTAAAATGATACCCTACAGGAAGGTTTATTATGTTACTAAACATTTATAAGTGTTCAAAGAATATTCTTTGAAAAGAAGTTCAAATCACATAGTATTTAGGAGTGAGAAGGATTCATATAGATCTAACATTTGTTATTTTTGCCTACTTGAGTCTATTTCCTTTTTTCTATAAACTATCATCTCAATATGTCTTTCAAGCCTTCCTATCACTGGCCCTGTCCTCCCATTGATAGATTAAATGGTCTGTGATCCAGGCCTGATCACTTTGATGGGTTCGGTGATACCCAGATGAACCCACCCATAACATCAGACTCCAACTTGGAACTTTCACTTCTGGAGTTCCTTGTGTGCAAGTATTTAAAGCTAGAGCTGCTGGTAACCATCTTGCTACCATGAAGGTTGAGAGCCTGTAGGAGAATCTGCTTTGAGAAATGCGTAACTGCAGAAAAGAATGAGAAGATTCCTGATGAAGTTACTTGACTCACTGGATCCAGCACTGCCGAAAGAAGAAAAACCCCAGACTCTTCAGTTATATGAGTTAATAAATTCACTCTAAGTTGAATTTCTGTCATATACAACCAAAGAGTCCTTCTTAATACACTCAGTGACCTATTTTGAGTAGACTTATTTATAGAACTCACTGTGTGAGTCATATGGAATACTTAGAATTGTTCCAAGAGAATATACTGTGATTTTTACAATGGTATCTAATTATTAAATATAATTCCATAGGCTTTATATATTAAAATTATTTTTAAAAACTTATAATAGACTAATTTTTCTGTGTATATCATTTATTAACTTCTATTATGGAGCTTTCATGGACAGACTGACATCTTTCAATAGCACTTACTTAATCTTTGAAAAAGGTAATTTGTCTTTTTTGAATTCACTGCCCACTATCCTATTTGTATTCATCTGCATTTTTTCTGGATTCTTGTATTATCTTAGACTTTTTCACACTATTTTTTATGTCTAAAGATAACTTCTGTTATGTTTTTTAATATCACTGTCTGTTCGCACTGTATAATGGATACTTTTTTTGCTCTTTTAATGCACTAATTCTCTCTTTAGTTGTCTTTAAACTGCCAATGAAGTCATTGACTTCCTTATGTCCATTATATTTTTGTGTTCTAGAAGTCTAATTTGATTATTTCTAAATGTGTTTCATCATTGTTTCTTGATTTTCCATAATTTCTAATTTCTTTTTAATTTCAACTTTTGCTTCTTCAAATATATTAAATTTACTTAATTTATCTTTTAATTGATTTTATTTTCAAAATCTGTTGTTTTTGAGGGTATAATTCTGTTGCTTGTTGTTTCTGTTAATGCTTTGTCATAGTGGCTTTCTCCTAGTGTGTTTCTGTGCTTTTTATCTCTCAGTTCATCATCATTGAGACATTACCTGGGGGACTATGCTGAGACCTGAGTTTGAGGGGATTGCTCTAAGCATGATTTGAACATGGGTCTTTTAAACATGAGTCCTAATCTGAGACTACACACTTAGTTTAGGATTATAAATCAATGGTTAGTGTAAATCCTGGATCCATATCTGAGTGAGAGGTGGTTTGTAGTCAAATATTCTCAGGGAAGACATTTTTCTACCTCCTCAAAGCCAAGTCCAGTATGGGTAAGTTTCCTTTTTACGTTTCTTTTTCTCATCCTCCTCCCCCTCCCCTTGCTGAGAGTATTTCTTTTGCTTTCAGTTGTTTTACTTGAAGTTCTTTAACTGACTTTCCACCCACGTAGGCTCTCAGCTTTGTTTCGGGTCCCTTAAGGTCTTGATCAACAGAGATTTGTCAGTGCCTGGGATAGCTGTCAGGAAGAGCACCTCATTGGATTTGCATTTTCTCAACATTTTTAGCCTCTAAGGAGTACCTCAATTTTTTGCCTACTCATCTATGCAGTGTATTTAAAGGGTTTTCTTAAAAATTACATTTTGTCCAGCAATTTTAGGTGTTTGATATGCCTTAAAAAGAAGTAGGTGTATCTAACCCACCATTTTGCTAGAAATGGAAGTCCCCTTTCCCTGTTTCTTTAGAGCGTAAACATACTCATACAGTGCTGCTATGTGAGGCCTCAACATCCCTGACTCAGTGAGGTTCTTTCATGAGGTACATACTTCCTTGGTAACCAAGTCAGATACTGATTTTTCATTCTTCTGTCATCCTATTTTCAATTTCACCTACTTCCAACTTAGTTACTTTACTAAAATTTATGTACCTCTTTGAACTATTATAAATCCTTTTTGGAAGAATATAATATGAATAAATCTGTGAAACAAAGCAAATATTTTAAAATACCTCTGTTTTTAATCTTTTTATGGTTTACAGTGCATTTTTACATACATTATGCTATTTTTGTTTTCTCCAAAATATAGGCAGTGAGGGTATTCTCACGTAGCCAAAAAATGATTCCCCAGGTGGTAATGCCTGAATCAGAATCCAGATTCTAAACCCTGGTCCAGTGCTCTTGTGCCTCAGGAATATTTCGAATATGTAGAAAGGACAAAATAAATGAAGGTAACTGTACATTGCAAACCCCCTAAACTCAAGTTATCAGGGTATTCTTTAACTGCAGATAAGCATGTTGAAATTGCTATAAAGTCTGCTTTCCCCAACACATTTAATTCTAGCTTCTGAAATACTTCTTTTTATTGTTGAAGAATTTATTTGCGACAAATCATTTCCTACTTATATTTTAGATCAATTATATACCATTTCATGGATATCTTATACGGAACACTTTGGATACAATTAATTAACTTACATTAATTAAATTAATTCTAGAAGAATCAGTTTACCTGTTTAAATGTGAGACATTGCCAAAATTCAAAGATTATTACAGAAAAGAATAGAGCACAGCTATAATAGAGAGAGCTTATTTTCATCTTCAAAGTGACAGATAACTTTTTCACACTCTATTTAAAATGAGCACCACTTACAGCTTTATCTGTATAGGTCTCTTCATAAAATGTTAGTATCAGAGCAAACTGTACAACTGCATATGTCTTTAATAGCCGAGATGCTGCTGATGAGAAGGGAACTTCTTCCCCCTTGACCTAGGAAGATAAGAAAGAAGCCTTTCCGTTATATTGTTCCCTTATCTCTCACACTGAAATTCACACTAAGTGAAGAGGAGATATGCAAAAAGAAATGAAAGGTTTTGCTATCTTTTTTAATCCTCGAAATGACTCTAACGTTTATTACTTTGGATAGAAAAAATGTAAAAATTAGGAGACTTGTTTTTCATTTCAGAAGCATTATGATTCTGATCTACTCTGCTTTATATAGAGCACTGTAAGAATTTATACTGATGATTAACATAAGCAAAATGAACATGTAATACGAAATATGAAAATATGTCCGTGATTATACATCAAAGTATAGCACAAGAGAAAATGGAAGGTGATTTGGGATAGTGTAGATATTCATGCTTCAAAGGCAAATACTGTCTTATTGAAAACAGCTTTCCCAAACTACAGTTTCCCAGAAATAATATAATCCTATCCTTATAATGCAGATTTAGGCATCAATATAATTTTAAAACATTCACTTTGAATTATCCATTGCAAAAAAAGAAAATAATAAGTGAACCGTAGCTGACTAGACTTTCTGGAGCTGAAATAAGCAAATTATTTTCACTTATATCAAGTCAGATCATTGTTATATAACTAACTGTGAACATAACCAAGTGTCTGGAAATTCCAACACAGCAGCTTTCATAAGTGGAGGAGAAAATATCCTTATTCAGATCAGGATTTTTGAAAAATAACGATATTCAAATAAAACATATTTCATTTTCTTGAATACTGGCTAATTTTTACACTCATAATTATCTTTGAAATCAACAGTAGCTTATTGTTTCTATATTACTAACAATGACAGTTATTTTGATAAGCAATCTCAATACATATCCTAAATGATTGGAAAGAAATTCCTTTTCCTCCATTTCATAAGAGAAATTCCACATTGAAACTGAATTTTTCATTTGATTTTCAGTGTTTTAAACCTCTACCTTGTTTATTTTTAGTTTTTCATGGGATTTCTGTACTTAATGCTACTACGCCACTAAGAAATGAATAGAGTTGTAATCTAATCTAATAACCACATCATTTCCGTATGACTTTAGACCTTTTATTCTGGAGACCTCAGTTTTTCATGGACAAAATGAAGGCTCGACTGAATCTTCTCTAAGGCTCTCTGTGATGGATCCATAAGTGTCTGTGTGGTTTCTGCACTACACAAAGGCTCTCGGCTGTGGGTCTGAGCCAAGAAAACCAGCCTCTGCTGCTCTGCCCCAAACTATGCTCCCTAGTAAGAGGCAGTGTCCGTCTGGGAGAAGGCACCCCTCTTAATGGCCCCTAGGTGGTGTCCACTTATTAATTTACACATTACAGGGCTGTATCTGCCTAAGGGAACATCTTTTTTCAGATTTGCATGAAGTCAGCATGTATTACAGGCTGGCTGTAGACCTGACAATATGAAATTAATCTTTGCCATCATAGAATTCATGAACTTTAATTACCTCTGGAATTTCTTCATTCAGTCCAAGTCTTGGTTTACCTGGACCCCATCCTGGTCCTTTAAATATGACAGAAAACTTATTGAAGAATCCAGGTGTGGCCCAGAATGTAGTCCATATGGTAAGTAAATGGTGGAACTAGAAGAATAAAAATATAGTCTATTTAAGATAAGAAAAGACCATAACAAAAAAGATTAAATACATTAAATCATGGATTTTATTTTATTGTTTAATGTAACTTACAAATTATTCTTTAATATATAGGTTATGTATAATTTGCTAATATTGATTAATATGCAATTGCATTATAAATTGAAATTCATTCTATGCATTCTGCATACCTTTACATTTAAATGTGTTCTTGTCAATATTTCTGAAGCTCCACAAAATTATAAACAGGAAATTTAATAATAGGGCAATTGTTTAGAAAATCAGCAAAGAATAAAAAGTGAGTTCAGAGAATTTGCTTCCAATGGATTTAACTAGCAGCCTGGGCACTCGACAGCCACATCTCGCTAAATGGTTTTTAAAGTTGAACATGGAATCATACAAATATTGCATATCTGTTATATATTTTTTAAATAATCTTTAATTTAATGTATTGAATTACAGACAAACACCTCATTTTAAGAAAAAATGTTCAAAACCATTTCTGATGGTAGACCTCTGAGGATTAAATAGATAGACCACATTCTGTAATAGGAAAAGTTTGCTGAGTCAGAAGTTTACCTTGAGGCTTATAGCAGGAATTCACATTCTTTAAATAACACACATTTGATATGTATAAAGTTAAAAGTATGCCCACACATGACAAGGACTCAACAAATACTGGCTATTAGGATAAATAGCTATACATATCATATATGTTATAAAAATGTATCATAGGATTAAAAATAATCCTAGATATTGGGTATCAGCTGTTGACTCTCGAAATGAGTTCTATTATACATGTAGTGATAAATTAATGTAGAAAGAAGTTATGGCTCTATCAGAATTTGTGGTCTCATTGGTATTTTCACTATCTCTTACAGAATTTAAACTGCTAGCATTATAAAAATTGTTTTTAAAATTACTTGAAATATTATAATAAGGAATCTGCAGCAATTAAGCAACAATGTAGGATTTAGCTGAGCTGATTTTAAAGAAAAAGGAAATATTAGATGGAAACTTATCCTGAGGCTTTGCAATAATAATAACACAGAAAATTAATGTTACAACACGCATTAATATACTTACCTGTTTTGTTATTTTAAAAACTGAGTACAAGACTTCCCTGGTGGCAGAGTGGTTAAGAATCCACCTGCCAATGCAGGGAACACAGGTTTGATCCCTGGTCTGGGAAGATCTCACATGCCGCAGAGCAACTAAGCCCATGCGCCACAACTACTGAAGCCTGCACACCCTAGAACCCACACGCCACAACTACCAAGCCCATGTGCCGCAACTACTGAAGCCCATGTGCTCTAGGGCCTGCATGTCACAACTACTGAGCCCACGTGCTGCAACTACTGAAGCCTGTGCGCTTAGAGCCCGTGCTCTGCAACAAGAGAGGCCACCACAATGAGAAGCCTGCGCACCACAGTGAAGAGTAGACCCCACTCGATACAACTAGAGAAAGCCTGCGCGCAGCAACAAAGACACAAAACCAAGAAAAAAAAAACAACAAAAAAAAACCTGACTGAAATCTTACTGCTATCATTCTAGACACAAACCATGAGAATACAGGGCTTTTAAATAAGGAGTACTTTCTCACTTACTTGTTTTCCAATGCCCTGAAACTCTTGGACTCCAAAGGAAAGCAAAATGAATGGTCTATACCTAGTATTAAAGGGGAAAAAAGCCTCTCCATCTAACAGGGGCCATCCTAAGGTGCTTTTGATGCCTCTGATGGGAGGGTGAGAAATTTAGCTAATATAAAGGAATACAAGTGAAAGTAAATACGTGATTTTGTAGGTTTAGGAACTCCTAATTATTACAACTTGCTGATTTGATATTTCTTACAATATAAGTGAGTATGTAGGAGACTAAAACTTAGACACAGTTGTGACAACTATTATGCTGAAGGCAATGTTTACATGAGGGCAGAATTAGCAGCAACTCATAAAGACCTGTGATTTAATATTTTGTCTCCAAATCCTAATCATCCAACTCCTTGTGCAGCTCATGTGATGCAGTTTTCAACTTCTTATTGTATCTCGAATATGAACCCCTTTTCCTCCATGTGTGTACACTCCCAAAGCCTTGCTAGCTAAAGGATTGCCAAGAACCAGCAGTGTCGGCATCTCCTGGGAGCTTGTTAGAAACACAGTATCTTGGCCAGATTTCAGACCTACTGAACCCTACTTTAATAAGATCCTCCCATGATTCATATGCACATTAAGTTTGAAAGGCTCTCTCCTAGAGGGCAGAGACCAAGCTGTATTTACTTCTTAATCTCTACATTATGAAGACAAGACCACGCCCAGTGAAGAAGTGGCTCTTAATGTATTATCTTGAAACTGATTTCAGTTCTATAAAGAACGTACCTAGAAATGTTTATTATTAAGGAAGTACCTGAAAATATTTGTTAGTATTCTCCTGAAAAAAATCTATCATATTCTTGGTAATGCCTAATCAAAAGAAAGAGAACCAAAGACAGAGAGAGAAATGCCACTAGTTGAGAAGAAAGAAGAGAAAGAATCAACTTTTCTCTTCTGAACAGCGACATAAAAATGCCTTTCACTTGAAAATTGAGTTAATCAAGTTTGGGGCTTGGCTTTCAACCCACCCCACTTAGGTTAGCATCTGACAAAACTGTGTTTAGGCGGGTGAATTATTTAAATCCTGAGAACCTCAGTTTCATCCACCAAAAAACTGAGGCTAAAAAGAACCACTACCTTATAAGGTTTTAGTAATGGTTAAATTAAACGTGTGCTGTTAGCAATGTCCTGCACATAGTAAAAGGTCAATAAATGTCCATTTATTTTGTTACTTTAACTTTCTTTAAAAACCTTGAAGAAGTAGCTTTGAAAGCAGACCCAACATGAACCTGTACTTTCTTCCCTTTCTGAATGCTGTATATCCAGTCCCCTGGACAGAGCTGTCACTGACTGACCTCTTCATTTTTTCAAGCATTTTTATCTTTTTCTCATTTACTAGTCCCGACCCCTGGGAGTGTCTGCGGTGCTCTGCTACTGACGGATCAGAGCTTCACAGACATTCCTCATTTCTCTAGTGCCAACCATTGAGACCAGCGAACAACCAATACCACATGTCTGACAGAAAACTGGTCCAGGGCAACAAGTCTTAGCAGGTGAGGCAACGTGCAAACCTAACCAACCCGTAATAGCTCCTGACACCTCCGTCCAAGAAGAGGAGGGCAAAGGCCTCACCCTGAATTTCTAACCAGAGTCATGCAGGCTTGAAGCAAATATTTTTCTTACTCTGGGATCAGCCTTAATTATACATTTTACTACCGCTCCTTCTGAATACATGAATATATTTCAGGTCTATTCTGAGAAAGGGTATGTTTGCTAAAGAGCTATTTCTTTTAATTCTAGGTAACAGACATATTTTAAAATTCTTACAATGAATTGTTTTCAAATGTATTCTGCCCAATTTGATTCAAGGCTTTGAGTGCCAGAGTTATTTCTAAATTCTTTTACAGTTAAAATATATAATTTTTAAGGCTAGTGTAATGTACTTCCACCTTTCAACAGCTGATTTTTTTTCAAATATAAAATTTATAAAAGGATGGAATCAATTCAGAAGAAATAAAACCAAGTACATTACCTGCACCTTGAAAGGTTCAAATGAATTAATAGGATGTGTTAGACCATATACAACTTTTTCCTTTTCTGCCTCAAATGTTCCTGGAAGATAAACAACAACGATATGATTTTTGACTTTCTGTGAATGGAGGAGCTAATTTAATTTTTTAAATGCTCATAGTTTAAAGAAGCTAATTTAATTTTTTAAATGCTCATAGTTTTTACTTACCAAAAATTCTATCCCATATAATAAGAGTTCCAGCAAAATTTTTGTCTACGCAATAACGATTTCTGCCTATGAGACAAAATATTTTTAAAAAGTTTTTTGAAAACGGAAGTTATACTTTTTGAAACAATGATATTCCTAAAAATATCTTTTCACTGATAACACTAGACTTTATTTGCTAGTTAACTGAGTATTTATTTTCCAATTGATCTTACTAAAAAGAGCAAAGACTTCCTTAAAGTCATAGATATTTAGAATTATCCCAGATTTTTAAAAAAAGCATCGTTCACAATTTTTCTGGTCTTTAAAAATCTGGGATAATTCTAAGTAATTCTTTTTTTTAGGACTATTAAAGAGCAATAATTAAAAATTAAATGGTCCAGAACAAAAGGCAATATGAAATAAGATAAATATCAATAGTATATGCATTTTTTTGATGTGATCTTTACACCTTTTCACCGCCTCTTTTCCAGGAAGAAAATTTTCCACTTACAGTAAGACTTTCCTATTTTTTTCATCACAAAAGACATAAGTAAAAATTAAGTTACCTTTGATTATATTCACTGACTCAAAACATACATGATATTTTGATGCCCCAAATACTTAAATAGTAGTTTAAATTTAAATAGTTGGACATAGTTTCCTAACTTAAAAAAATTAAATAAACACAATCATATCCACGACTGTAAATCAAACGAAAAAGAATATTAATCCACCAAGCCACTACTCCAATAAATTCAACTGTCTCCACGTGTCCTCATTTCTTTACACATCTTCTATACATGCAAATGTACACATGAACGTAAAGGTACAAGGAAAATTCTCCCCTGGTACAAAAGAAGAGTGGGGCTGGCTACACAGATCCACCATTCATTGCCACACGTAGCGTAGGCTAAACAGTGGCTCCCAGTTGGGTGAGGGAGCACTTTGAACCTCAGGGAATATATGGCAATGTCTGGAGACACTGTTAAGAGTCAATAACTGGGAAGGGATACTATTAGCATCTAATACGTAGAGACCAACATCTTATCATACACAGGGCAGCCCGCACGCTCACCCCGCATTCCCAAGTGAAGAACTATCTGTTCCAAAATGTTAATAGTGCAGAGGCTGAGAATGCCTGATATAAAGCAACATGCATGCGAAGGTGCTCTAAGGCCAAACAGGAAACTAGCAACTATTTCTTTTTCAACGTGGACATGTTTTTCTCCAGTCCTTGTGTTTCCTTTAATATGGAGGGAACAGCAAGAGCATAATGCTCTTGACCTCTGCACCAACTCAGTAATAATTCCCTGTGGTGGAGGTATGACTGTGGGGTTTGGAAGGGGAAACTGCACATGTGCAGCAGGACCCCACCCTCTCCCCACCTGGAGGAGCTTGTGCTTCTGCTCTGCTCCCTGCCCCAGAGAAAGGGACCTGCCCACCTTGGGAAGGCAGGCCTGACGTGTGCCAGTACTACTGCCTGTGATGCCTGGACACTTATAAAAACAGAACAATAATATTTAATATTTTCTTACTAGCTTCCTTCTCTCAAAATGGCCTTTGTGAGATTTATTCATGCCATTACATGTTATAATAGTTTGGACACTTTCATTGCAATATAGTTCTCCATTACATGAATAGTCTACAATGTATCTGTTCTATTGCTGACAAACATGCAAATTATATCTTTTTTTCCTATTACCTAATACAAATAATGCCAACATACACACTCTTTACAGGTCTTTTGGTGCGCAAATGTAAATACTTCTGTTATTTCTTAAGCTAGTGTCTTTAAACCTTAGGCACTAGTCACATGGAATTTTTTTCTTTGTCAGGAAAAAGCAGTGTATGTTGAGTTTTTTCATAGAATTTAGGCAGGGAAGTGAAGTGTTTATTAGGCTTTCCTTAAATACCAACAGTTTTTAAGACCAAGACACTCTGACTGTACACAGGAATGACCCTCAGCGTGGGGTCAAGGAGTAACTTTCAACAAGCTCCTCACAATATGAAGTGTGTACCCCCTCAGCTGGTTAACTCCTTTTTCCATTACATCTGAGGAGAGCTAAGCAAAAAGGAAATTCAAAAGTCAGCTATGGAGAGGATTTTGTTTTGTTTTGTTTTCCTCCAGTCCTTTCTTTATAGATGAGGTTTGTCCAGGTACGAAAGAAGCAGCAAATGCCTATTTGCAGTGTGTGGTGACTAGGTTGGGTAATTGTGCTGAAGTGATACAAAATAATAATGTCATTTTTCAAGAAATGAGGAAGGAATGAAAGAAGAGATCGAATTTCCTCACCATGATGAACCCTATGATGGCTAGGAGTATTAAGAATCAGTTCCAAAGGACCAAGGTTATCGATGACCTGTTTAAAAGAAAAGGAACATAGTTATTAAATTATATATAATATTTAAGTACTCACATTAAAATCCCATATGGGTTAAGAAATATTGCTAGTTCCATGGTTGGCATCAGAGTCCGAAGAAGGTTCTCTATCTTCTGGTATTCATATAAAGATAACAATTAGCTCATCACGATATTCTAAGAGACAATATAGTATAGTAGTGAGGTTAAGAGTAGTGAACTGACTGCCTCAGTTCAGTCCCTGAATCCTCTATTTATTATTATGTGGTATTGGGGAAATCACTTAAGCTTTTTATAAGTCAGATTCCTTATCTTTAAAATGGAAATAATAGTATCTACATAATAATGTTCTGAGGATTACAAATGTTACTGTATTTAGACGCTACCATTGCCACGGCATACTTCTTTAAGTTTCATGTCATTTTATGTTCTTCATCCATCAGCTATGTCTTTGATGACTTATGTTAACAGAGCATAACTAGGCGAAGGGAAACCCAGTATTATATTTGTTTTCTGGAGTTGGTTTCACCCAATAATCAGTCATGCAGTAACTTAGTATTGCAGTTGCATTACGGTGATCCTTGCTTATTCAAACAGACTCCTAAATGTCCTCTTACTGTAGATGCCCCATCTTCCAGTCCATTTCTGAGGCACGATTCAAAGTCAAATATGTAAAGGGGCTTTTTTTGGAATTAAAGAAGCTTTAAAATCGCTTTAAAATTATTCTTTAATGTTCTCTCTCAACATTTCTCAGTAAGAACCCCCTATGCCCGAGTCTGCACACTCTAAAGAGTGTAGAAACCAGGTAGTTACCATAAATTAGAACAGCAGGCCATATTTAAGATATCCATTATGTCATACAGTTAATATTGGACAATGTGGGAAGGCTTTTCATCTCAATTACATTATTCTTTCTTCCATCAACCATGGCAGATAACAGTCTTTTACTTTTCTTTAATCACAATATAAGTACATCTTTTAGAGCCTATTTATGACAAAATCAATACATCGATATTTTAAGAAATTACTCACCTTTAAAGTTAACTTCCATTTAAAGGATATATAAGGAATAAAGTAATATGTTAAATGCTACTTAAGGGAAAAATAGTCACTGAAATCGTAACACTGACATGAATTTGGCAACAAGTCAGTGGTACGAGAAAAAAACAGGGAGCTGGGACTGCTTCAGATGAAAAGATATTTAAGATACATACAACCAAACGTATTGTGGGGATCTTGTTTAGATACTGATTTGAACAAACCAAATATAAAAGACATTTTATAGGCAATGAGAGAAAACTGATTATAAACATAGTATGACATGATAAAAATACTGTTTTATTAGGAGTTATGATGGCATTGTCATTGCATGAGAAAATATAATAGTTTTTTAAGAGTTGTATAACTAAAGTATACGTGACATGAGATCTAGGTTTTGCTTCATCATATTTGGCAATGAAAAGGAAAAAGAAAAAAAGAATAACTGATGAAAATGAATCAAAATCATAGCGTTTTTATTGAAATATAGTTGATTTACAATGTTGTATTCATTTCAGGTATACAGCAAAGTGATTCAGTCATACACATCTATTATCTATTATTTTTCAGATTCTTTTCCATTATAGGTTATTACAAGATATCATAATGATTTTTAAATTGAAGTTATGGAGCTAGAAACATTCATTCTATTATTCTCTCTACTTTTCTGAATGTTTTAAAATTTTTAAGACAAATTTAAATAAAAGAAATTACTACTCTAGTAATATACAGTAATGCTCAGTTAGTCAGTTGAAAATATTGATAGAGCCCTATAGTCCCAAACATACATCTATGTTGTAACTCTTTATATAGCAGTGTTTAATACTTTTTTGGCAACCTCTGACACTGAAACACCCAATTTGCAATTGCTCTGCAGACATGCACAGCCGCAGGAGCCACACGGTCCTCAGCTTGTGGGGTCCTGCACGTTCCTGAAGGAGAAGCAGCAGCAGCGCTGCCACATAACAATGTTGCATCTCTTCATAGGGCAGGTGTCACCAGCATCTCCTTATTAGACTCACTGCACACCTGAAAGAAACAGTCCTTGCCTCCTTCCTTGCTGCCCAGCTTCTAAGGGGTTCTCGGTTTGCATTACGGTACAGGCATGCAAAGGATGCAAATGTTTGCAATGCAGAGGATATGTAATATGCTATCTCTCTCTCTCTCTCTCCCTCTCTCTCTCTCTCTCTCTCTCTTCTTGTCTCTCTTTTCTAATCTAGAGTTCTATAGCCATTTTTAAAGTTATCCATAAGAAATGTATTATGGGATCCAAACAACAGACTTTTTTTGTTGATCCATAAGACTTTTTCGTTGATTCATACAACAGAACTCATTTATACATGAAAAAAATCTCTGTAGTTTTTAATTTCAGGAGTTCAAAATACGGTGAATATATAGCCCTTATATCAGACCACAGTCCTGTGAAATAAGAGGCAAAAATATTATCCCACAAATGCACTATTAATGACCAGAAATTGGGAGGGGAGTAAGTAGAAATAACCCTTAATTTTATTGGACTACATTGCTTTGTACTGGTGGAAAAATATTTGTTGAGAAGAAGAATGGTGACGGATAGAGAACAAGAAGGGGGTTTCTCAGCAGTCAGGACATTGAAATCTGATGCTCTGCTCAGGCTTTGTATCTTTGGCAGAGAACCAGATGGGAAAGGAGAAAACCATTTTATCCTTGTTTGTGTCTCTGGTGGCGAACATATGTTACAAAAACAGACAACAAAAGGGGGTAGAGGAGACTACACTAACTGGTTTCTGCTACCCAGATGCATTTCTAATCCTTGGTCCCGGCATGTGCAGCCTGTGCAGCCAGATTTAAAGCCCCACAAATGGTAAGTGAATTCAGATGATTGGAGCCTTGGCTGAGGGCATTATTTTTTTAATGTCAAGTACTTTTCCTCAAAGAAAATCTTTTGCTTCTGCAGGCTAAAGCATGGTGATATCAATATTGAAAATTCCTTTTCTTTTTCTTTTTTTAGTAAAATGCCAAGTATAACACAGGCAACCAGAGTTAAATTTCCTTGTAGTGCCTATGAGTACCTTGGAGCTGGGGAAGACCACCTTGGTGTGGGAAATGATTCATCATTCAGACAGCCCAGTCAGAATCTCTCTTGTAGTAAACCCTTCTGATTCAAAGTCATGGAGAAGTAATTAATAACTAATAAGAGCTGAGTGTGATGACTTATCACCCATTTTTGCAAATTCAGTCATTTAGAAATTCAACTGCATCTAGCTTTGAATCATTTCCCGAAAATATTTTACTGTGAACATAATTGGAGCTATTCTCATTTTTAGAAGTTATTTGTCTTGCTTTTTTTTAGATTTAGATGAGTTAATTTAAATTATAAAATTTTAGAACATATAGAGGACTTAAAAATAATATAGTGCAATACTCTATTACAAAAAAGCATAAAACTGAAGCTCGGAGAAGTTAAATTACTAATCCAAGTTTAAACATCTTAGAAGAAGCCCTAAAGTCTTCTCAGTTTCAACTCAGTAATCCTTCTATTTTTCTATCATGTTGCTTTATGAGATATAGCACTTTTCCCATCAAAGAAATCTAAATTTTTAGAACTTTAACGGGAAATGATAACTAAGTGCTTTTTGACTACATTTCAAAATGAAATCCAGTTATTTAGAAAGAGCCCAGGAATTTCAGCTTCTACATTGCGCTCATGGTATTTTAGGCACTTCTGGGGCTTCTTAGGTCTCTAAAGCAACGGTCTGTGTCTTGTAGCCTGTAGTTTTCTATCAGGGTTTTATAATCTGAGGGCCATGGATGTCTAGAAGGGCCATTTATGGCCTTCAGAAGGCCAAGAACACCCTGAAGTGTCATACCAAATTTTATGAATATGTGACTATGGGTATTTTCTTGGGGAAAACTACTATTTTCACAATATACTCAAAGGGATACATAAGTCCCCAGAGGTTAAGAATCAATGTCCTAAACAGAGTGCTTTAGGTTGTTGCCTTTGCCCTGCTTATTTATATTGTGTTTTTAGTTTATGTATTATTAAAACTTGGGTGCTAATTTCCCACCCAATCTTCAAAGACAGTAACTTTAACATTTTTTTCTGCCTATTTCGTGAAACCATTGTTTTCCAAAAAGATTGTTTCTTAAGCTGCTTTTACTTGTTTAATAATAATTTATTAAAAATAAATAAATAATAAAAGTAACAATTTTATAATTATAAGCTCCATCCATTCTATTGATTAACCTTTATCCAGCAGAAGTGCTCTGGACTGGATTTGCTGGAGTGGTCACAAACTCCTTATTTCTCTCTCCACAATTTATGGTGGATGTAGGGAAGAAGAGTTAAAAGTAAGAGAACAGGAACCATGAGTTTCATCATGTCATTTCATCATGTCATTTCCTCTCATCAGAACTAAAATGAACTCAAATAAAAGGATCTTCATAATGAACTAAATGAAGTCCAAAACATCTGGGATTCAAAGCCGTTCACATTTTTCCTCAAGACCGATCCCAATGCTCTTACTTTTGCCTCTAAGACCTTCATGTCCCATCCTGACCTGTTGGAATCATGCTCTACCTCCAAGACCTAGTTAAATTTTCCAAGCACTCTTCTGGATTTTTCTAAAGGGAATTTTGTTTTCCTTTCTCTGAGTACATATCAAGATACCACTACTTTTTATGTTGGTCTGTCCTATGTCCTAATTATTTGTGTTCATTTCTGTGAAGACAGAAACTGGGTCTCACCCTTCTCGAAGTTTCTCACAGCACATACAACATCGGTTTGCACATAGTGATTTCTCAGCAAGATTATATTGGGTAGATAAGTCAACTTTACTGCCCTCCACACTTCTGCCTTTATAGTAGTGGTTCTTAAACAGGGGTGATTATGCTCCCAGGGGACTGGTGGCAATGTCTGGAGATATTTTTGGTTGTCTCAGCTGGGGAAAGTGCTATTGTATCTACTGAGTAGTAGGTTTT